TTTTAATAATTAATCAAATAATTTAAATTAATTTTTTTACTACACTTTAAAAAAAAAATTGTTTATAAAGCTTAAATTTATTGTTTTTTACTCACCAATACAACTAGGTTGACTAATATCGGGTGGCGTGCCAACAGTGCACAAAGCTGGTCCGTGATTACCAGCAGAGGCTACCCACACAACACCGTATTTGTTCACAACTTCGCTCATTAGCTCACCGATGCGACTAAATAAAACAAGAACAACAAAGCAACAGAATAAACATAAAAAATATTGACTGTTAGCATTTACAAGCACGGAAAATCAACATGAGGCAATAAGAATTTAAAAAAAAATATAATTATTTAAATTAATCAACACAGAAAATATTGCTATTAAGGCAACAACAAATGAATTTACTTTGAAATTTTGCTAGTATTTGTGGTTGTGTGCAACAAAACGCACTGTTAATCACAATTCAATTAAAAATGTTAATCAAAATGTGTGCGCATACGTCTAACAATGAAGGAAAAAGCTGGAAATATATTACCTCATGTAGACTTTCCGTTTCCTTTTACGTTTCTTATCGACAATCAAAGGACTTTCATATTGATATATTTGACTTTTTAATATTTATCGTATTTGTTTTCGTGAAATTTCAAAGTAGATTCGTTTTGGTACAATTTTGAAAATCGATATAATAAATAATTTAATATCATTATGAACATAAACGACGAGTCAAGCAACTTACCCGGCATTAGACCAGTGCGCATGTTCGCCATAACTCATATTGATGACGTCTATTTTGGTGCCGGAGCGACACAATTCCATAACTTTCATCATGCCACGCACTAGCGCTGTGCCGGTCTCCATCGAACCTAAACGCCCATCACCGATTGTAATCGAAACAATGCGTGCATTTGGCGCAACGCCGTCGACATCTTTAGACGCGTGATTGCCACTGGCAATGGAAGCGACATGTGTGCCATGTGACGCTGAAAATATTAGTGTGAGCATGAATAAATCAGAATTACAATATAATTGTTTATATTTTTTACTTACAGCACATGCCCACAATCTCGAGCACATCGCCGTTATCATGCACATTAATTGATATGGAGAAGAAGTCATCAACATTCTTTATTTCGTGCGTCTTCGTGTACTCGCCAAGATGCAGCGCGTTCTCAAGATCACCCTAAATATTAAAAAAAAAAAAAAAACTAAATAAGAAACTTTTCTTTGTTTATCATCTTCTATACGCACCTTTTCCGTAGTATCCACGACTGCTTGCCAACCGTTGGCGGTCTGATACAAAATACAGTCATACGTTGTTCTTATATCCTTGTATATCTTCTCATAATTATTTAACATTTCTAAAGTGTTATCTAAATCTTCTTTAATCAATTTCTTATCCCAGCTCAATTTCGTTAAATCTGCGGATGAGTTTATGTTAAAGACCAAATATGAAAAAGTAAAATATACTCTAGAAACCTGAGTTTTGCGCTTCGAATTCGCTGATTTTGCGTGCAATTGCGGCAGTGGCCAGTTTATTGGGGCCATCCCAATCCTTGGTTTTGTAAAAATTGGTTATGTTCTCTCTCACTTTGAATGGGCACAAGTCATGGAAGTTTTTCATGCCGATACGATATTCCCCGTTGGCAGTGTTAGAAGCAGTCATTTGCGGTGACAACTATAATAGTGATTAGATATAGATAACAATTGCAATTATTATATACTATAAGCGTATAATGACCAAAATAAACAAAACAAAGAGCACCATGTAATTGCGAATGAAGTATTATTAGATTTTTGATATAAGCAGATAAGTACACACACGTATACAAATGCACTTATGTAGATATAAATATTTAAGCAGGCCAATTATTAGTGTTAAAATGCTTAATCATGCGAAATTTTATATACGCGACGTTATTTTGTGTCATATAATATTGCATACGTACGCATTAAAATTTTCACAAAATTAACATAGCTTTTTTGTGTAACTGTTCTTTTCGCGAAAGCTAATCAACGTTAATTTATTCCAAACTCTATGGACTTACTTTAAGTTGGCGTCCAGAACAGCCCGTGATGAAGCCTTTATCATTGGCTTTAACTTTTTTGGACATGTCAACGTCACCACAACTCGTGCAATCAAAACGCTCGATCACCTTCACTGACTTACCGTCACATAGAGTCTATTGAAAATAATAAAATATATATATGTATATAATAAAATTTGTAATTAATAAACTAAACCATAACCTCTAAATTTTAAATTTCTCAACAAAAATAACTTGCCTCCAAACCTGATGCACGCGGATCAACGCCGGAATCGAAAATGGCGATCACGGTGTCACGCCCATCATAATCGGGATACTTTTGCAAGAAATTTAAAACTCCTGTTTCAGCTTTGGGCACCAATGCGCCGCTCGGAAAAGTGGCTTCAATGATACCACTGCTATTACTCGACGCCATTGTTGCTTCTGGCTGCTCCTGCTCTGCCTTTTCACCTTTACTTAGTTGCTGATTAACAACGGTACTAATCGTTACGTATCCTCTGGTTGTACGCAGGCTCTTTACAATTTTGCTTGAATTTGCTGCCGTTGTTATAGCACCTTTGTGTGGGCAAATAAGCAATAAATTATAGAAATGTTGATTTTAACTAATTTAAACCTAATTGACAATAAATTGTCTGTCCGAAATGTCTAATCAACAATTTTTTCTGCCGTCTGTGGAAGAAACGATGAAAAGCAATTGTCACCGTTTTGTAGATGTCAGCTTTGTTGGTAATGTATTTGTTGTTGTTTTGCAAATAGCCGTTGTGCAAATAGCGGCCGGTGACAGGTAAAATTGGATTGTAATGTAAATCACTTACGCGAGATGTCGCCTTGAGAATCCTGCTATTCTAATTAACTGAACAATTTTCGTAGCAATTATTCCTAAGTTTATTTTTATAAACATTCAGTAACACACTGCGAATTTTTAAATAAATTTAAAAAGATTACAAAAACCAAAAAAGTGACACACAATTAATTTTTGTGAAAATACTGTGTGCTATTGCTTGTATTTTTGATAGCTTTTTGCTATGGATTACTTTGCAAATTTGTAAAATATTTTTTTTGAAACATTGCTTAAATCCAATCAGTTTCAAGAATGATAGAGATATCTCCAACTAATTCAGTTGGTTCTTGATTCCCGAGTAACATTTTCTCCCATTGGGCAAATAAAATTTTCCTGTTTATGTACTTCGTTACTGTCTGTTATCGATAACTGAGGTCAAATACTGTTTGGCCGGCGTTAAACTGTTTTATGTGCAGCTTTGGTGTCTTTTTATTGACAGCTCACAGCCAGCTGATCGAACTGTCAAATCTGCTACTCGCTGTCAAAGTATTGTGAAAAAAGTTTGTGTTGGTGCGTGAGATTTCGTTGAAAGCGTTTCGTTCTTTTACAAATCATAAAATAACAAACTAAAGTAAAATGTGGTACGAAATCTTACCTTCAGCCGGCATTATCACAGTCGTACTTGCAGTTCCTGTGTACGCGATGTGGGGTCTTAACAAATTGACCCTTGGCAATGTAAGTAAATGTTTGTTGAAATATATTCCGGATGACACAGTCAGCTTATATAACTGTGTGCTGGATCGTAGTGCTTCGCATCTTTTCAACATATTAGTACTTAATTCAATGTATAAATTAATTTATTTCGTTCACTTTATGACTGTTGTTCCTACATCAATCAATTAAATTGTATTTTTAACTATCCTACAGTCCTACCGCCGCAATATGGACGAGCGTTTCGACCGAATTTTGTATCAACGCGACAGCAGACTAACTAAAAATCCATACATTCAGAATGTGAGTATCAACTAGTTGGAAAATAATAATTGCTTCAACGAGTGCTTGTTTATCAACAAAAACAAAAGTTAGAATTCTAGTGCTATTAGTTTTTGCAATATTTTCAAAGTATATTAATATATTGGCAGTTTTCGATTTACAAAAAAGAAATTACAAACTACAAATTCGGTTTGGAAATTTACCGTACCGACAGTTTTAATAGCAAAATGCAATAGCAAGTAGATATTAATTGTTTAATGGGCACTTTTCAGTAACTTAATAAAAAAAACTAAATTTCCATGATTACTAAATCGAATTTATGAAAATATGTTAGTCAATGAATGTACATATCCATATATTCTCCAATCAACATCATGAGACATACATATATCATAGATAATATTACTTTTGTTATAAAACATTTGTAGAAAATGGTAGAAAGGACATTATTTTCCCTGTTAGAGAATCTATTTTTTTAAATTTACTGTCAAAACAATGGTTTATTGTTTTTAAATGTATACAAACATATGTATATATTTTGGTCTTATTGATTTTATCTTTAATAATAAATTTCACTTACTCGAAAAAGTTTAGTTGTTTAGTTTTAACGAAAAAATAGGCACTTATTGGCTATTCATACAAATATTTCTTTTTTTTTTTTTATTCCTACAGGGCTTGGAATCCATTCCCGATGAAGAAAGTCATTAAATGTCGTGTATATATGCAATTTAATCACATTTATAGTGTAACATTAATGAAGGATATCAAATAAAACATGTAAAACAAGTAACGCTTCCTATTTCCTTGATAGTGTAATGTAGCGCAGTCAGCTGTTGAGTCTCTGTATTTTTCTTCCTCTTTGTATAGTCCTTTATGTGCAGTGAAACATCCCTGTGCTGAAGGAAAAACCACCCCTAGAATTGCCTACTATCAATTACCCTCCCAATTGTCAGTCACATTTCATAAGGCGTCTTCAAAGGCAGAAAAATAATTTCAGCACTTTTAAACTGTAAAATATTGTTAAAAAATTGTAAAATTTAATATATTTTATTAGTAAAGTAACATTAAAGTTATTGGGTAGTTAAAATGTTGAAAGGACATCATAAAAATAAGTGAAAAGTACGATTTTTCACATTTTCCAACGCATAGGCGATACGATGAAGTGGTCGTGCATTGTGCAAAAGGGGGCGCAACTAACAGAAAACACCAGAAGCCATTTGGCGCTGGGTGTGGAAAGTAGTGCGCCTGTTAGTGTTAAGCTTAAGGGCAAATGTGGTAAAAGCGGCAATTTCGCTGTGGGCCACTTTATCGGTGTTTTTTGTTTCTTTATTCGGACTTTTGTTTTGCTCGCGGTGGCTGCGGTATTTTTGTTTACAATCGACAGCGTCAATGCCGCCGCTACCTCCTTGAAAGCGCCACACGAAGGAGATAGTGGGACATCAGCGGGAGGGCGACATCAATATGAACACGCTGCCGTGAATGCCGCTGGATTGCACGAATACGAGCACGAGGAGAAGGGCTATTGTGCGCCGTACAATGGTATAATTTGTAAGCAATATATAAGCGGACAGGTATGGTATAGTCGTGAAGATCCGACAGGCGGCTGGAAGAATGAGCAAATTACAACCGCATTGTGGGAAGAGTTAATTGCCGACTTGACGGGATTATGCCGCCAAGCGGCAGAGGTGAGTGCCCGCACTTGTAATACAATTACTATCATCAGCTTAGGAAGTTAATCCGATCATTCTTTATAGAAAATGCTGTGCGCTTACGCATTCCCGCATTGTCAGAGGGAAAATGGACGTACAATAAAAGTGCCGTTATGCTATGAGGATTGTACAGCAACACATCTACAATTCTGCTACAACGATTGGGTGTTGATTGAGGAGAAGAAAGAGCGTAATATATTTCTGAAGAGTCGTTTGCATTTCCGGTTACCCAACTGTAGCGTACTACCAAGACACAATGCCACCACAAAGAAACCGAATTGCTCGTACATTGGACTAACGGAGCTCAAAGAAGATGAAGTAAGCTGTAAGTATAACAAACTCATAAACTGAATGTAACATTGCTTATTCTTATACTATATATTATTATACTATACTAAATTTTAATAGACGATTGTCGCAATGGCAACGGACGTTACTATCTCGGCACGGTAAATGTAACGAAAACGGGTTTGCCATGTCAACGCTGGGACGTGCAACATCCGCACAAACATATCCAACCGCCACAGGTGTTTCCACAAATAGCTAATGGTGAAAACTACTGCCGTAATGCCGGTGGCGAAGAACCCTATCCATGGTGTTACACGCTCGATGAGTCCGTCCGTTGGCAGCACTGCGATATACCACTCTGCCGTAAGTGCATATACTACAATATAATTTAAGATAAAATGTAATTAACAAACATTTCACGCTTCTTTACAGCTGACTATATTGATCTCACTGCCAAAGATCTAAATACACCCATAAAAATGGAAACTTTTTTCACACCATCCATGATCTTCCTACTTGCCGGCATCGGTTTCGTTGGCATTGTGGCGTTGCATTTAATTATTTTACTAGTACACAAGATATCTAAGCACAAAGAATTTTCGTCGCAACAACAACGCCAACCAGTACCAACTTCCGAGTGCAATGTTTCGGTGCGCGGCGGTGGTGATTGCAATTTGACAGAGAGCAGAGAAACTTTAGGCTCGAACAATGCGGTGGCTATAAGTAATAAGTGTGGCACAATTAAAAGTACAGCCACAATACACAGTGTAGCTGAGCCTAAAACAAATTTAAACACCAAATTGGAGAAACTGGAATATCCACGTGGCGATATCGTCTATGTGCGTTCTTTGGGGCAAGGCGCTTTTGGAAGGGTGTTTCAGGTAAGTTTGTAATAAAAAAAATGCATAATTCAAGTATTAAATTTAAATTAATATACGCGTAGGCTAAAGCACCTGGTCTTGTGCCCGGCAACGATGACTATCTAGTCGCCGTGAAAATGCTTAAAGACGACGCCAGCGACCAAATGCAGATGGATTTCGAACGTGAGGCCTGCCTCTTGGCTGAATTCGATCACGCCAATATTGTTAAGCTGCTCGGCGTATGCGCTTTGGGGCGACCCATGTGTCTGCTCTTCGAATTCATGTCACCGGGTGATTTAAGTGAATTTTTACGCGCCTGTTCACCCTATGCCACGCATCAAATACAACAACGCAATCGTCAGGAATTGAATGAGGGTCATTTGCTGCAGATAGCGGCACAAATTGCTGCCGGTATGGTTTATTTGTCTGAACGTAAATTTGTACATCGCGATTTGGCCACACGCAATTGTCTAATCAACGAACAAATGGAAGTGAAAATTGCCGATTTCGGTTTATCACATAAAATATACTTGCAAGACTACTATAAGGGTGATGAGAACGATGTTATACCGATACGTTGGATGCCACTCGAAAGTATATTGTACAACAAATTCTCCATTGAATCGGATGTCTGGGCTTATGGCATATGCTTGTGGGAGATATTCTCGTTCGCATTGCAACCCTACTTTGGGCTGACACACGAAGAGGTGATTAAGTTCATCAAAGAAGGCAACGTGCTGAGCTGTCCGGATAATACACCGTTATCGGTGTATGCATTAATGCGTCGTTGTTGGAATCGTAAACCAAATGAACGTCCCAGTTTTGCGGAAATCAATCATTGTATACAACACAGTTTGGTGGAGTACGAGTGCAAAACGATGATGTAGAGCGCGTGTGGCGGAGAAAAAAAGTGAATTGTTATTGAAACAGCAATTGTACTTACTTTCAACTGGCCATATACATACATACATCCATACATATATACAAAGAAATATTTTAGTGTAAGTGCAACAACAGAAACACTTCCGTTCGAAAGTACTCAGCAATGGTTGGTTTAAAAATTAAGTTCATTAGAAATAGTAATAGTTTCGCACATAAAAAATTATGTAACTACAACAATAAGCACAAATTATGTATTTATATGGAGCTAATATATAATAATACTTACAAACGTGTACTCAGAAAAGTTGTGTTCAGGCAATAATTTATGTAGTTGTGTGCAAAATATGCAGTCCAGCTCAACAAGTTTCCTTACTTTTATATATATTTTTATTAAATAAGTTTACTCAATCATCTATTATAAGATATATTTAATATTTATTTTAAAAATCATATAAATTTTTTGTTAAAACAAGACATAAGTTAACTTCGGCTACAGCGAAGCTATGATAACTTTCACAGGTGTATTTCTTATAGCATAAGAACATATAAAAATTTTTAATATTGATTTTGATTTGTCGGTTTATATGTCAGCTATATGCTATAGTAGTCCGATCTGAACTATTTTTGCGAAAAATATATCGTAGCTTTGTCTAATAGTCCATGCCAAATTTCGTGAAGATAACTCGTCAAATGAAAAACTTTTCCATACTAGCACTTGCTTTGGATTGTTCAGCTTGTATGACATCTATAGGCTATAGTGGTCCGATATCGGCGGTTCCGTCAAATGAACAGCTTCTTGCGGAGAAAAGAATGTATACAAAATTTCAAATTTATATTTCAAAAATTGAGGGACTAATTCGTCTATATATGTATGTATATACGAACGGAGAGGACAGGGCAAATGGAAATTGACTAAGCTCAGCATGGTGATCATTTACGAGTACATATGTACTTTATAGGGTTTCCGCCGTTTCCTTCGGGGCGTTACACACCTCGTGACTAACTCATTATACACTGTGCAGGGCATAAAAATTATAAAAATTAATTTTTTAAACATCTAATATTTTTGTATAACAAAAATCCTCCTCAAACACGTTCCAATCATCGAGCAGCGCTAGTCTGCACTATTCAACTCAACGAATTGTACTGTTAATTTTTATATATTTATATATACACATAGAATAATGCATCAGTAGCCAACATATCTGATGGATTTTTAAATAAATTCATATTTATTAATTTACTTTTACAATATAATAGTTTTAATAATTTTTGCGCAAAGCAAAAAAAAAAAAAAAAANAAAAAGGAAATATATATCATAAAAAATATTTAAAGTCAATATATACACTTGTACATAATATACAGTGAAACAAACAAACGTACATGAAACTTAATTGCATATTGTATAACAAATAACCGATGTTTGTGTAATAAATAAATAAATTTCAAAAACACACACTACAAATTTTCGTACTAAATATTAAGTAAGAGCGTATCATGTTTATAAATACATACATATGTAGTTTCATAATAAATAAAAAATTTGGTGACAAAAATAGAGGAATAATGCTCATTTGTATATGCAGTTATATTCACTTAAAAATTTTTTTATAATAAATATTTTTTATTTTTATAAATATAATATTTTTATTTTAAATATAATTTATTATTTTTTGTTTTATTAATTATAATTCTAATTATATAAAAATATTTATTTTTTTTTTTACTTATCAGGGTTTCAAATAATGCATTAAAAAAAATTTAATAAACATTTAATTAGATTTTTTTGATTTCCGAAATTTTAGTGAAAAATTATTTTAAAAAATTTTTAAGCCCAAATAAAGTATTGAAAAAACATTTTAATCTTAAATAACGAAAAAAAATCTAATTTCAAAAATTAGTTAAAAATAATTTTTGTTAAAATTAGTTAAAAATAATTTTTGTTCGTCCCAAATATATTGGATAAATAATTAAATTTTTTTTTAATTTTTGTTATTGAAAAAAATGTTTAATCGTAAACACAGTAATAAAAAAATTAATTTTTTTTCTGTTTAGTCCCAACCAAGCTAGATTAATAATTAATTAATATTTTTTATATCAAAATTAATTTATTAAACCCAAAATTGGAATTTCTGAAATTTATTGCAATTAAAATTTTAACAATTTATTTTGAGTCCAGAAAAATTGCATTAAAAAATTCGCAAGCTTGCTTATGACTATAAAAATATTTTTGTTTGTAATATTAAAGAATATACATAATTATTTTTGTTATGTTTGTAAACAATTGCTATAAAATTTTCAACTCAACATTCAGTGGTAGTAGTCATAACACACCCAAGGATGGTAATAGCAGTAGGGCCGCTCATACTCTACAACACCCACTCCACCAACAACAACAGGCGCTCTCCAACCATAACCTCGATAACCGCCACCGTAATATCTGCCAAATCCGGGTCCAAAAAAGGCGCCGCCACCTCCACGACCAAATCCTCTGCCACCAAATCCACCACGGCCACCACCAAAACCACCTCGACCACCACCAAACCCACCCCGGCCACCACCAAATCCTCCATGACCACCACCATGTCCACCACCCCCGCCACCATGTCCACCGCCACCGCCACCTCCTCTAGCCGCCACCATTTCGCCAACCCAAAACAGTAGCAAAATATAAAGGATCACTTTGAGAACCAGTTTAGACATGTTAAAATTGCAACGACTTGTTTTCGACTGAAATTCCATTCTTCAGTCATTTAACCTGAGAAAGAATTATTGTGATCTACCAATTAGTACCGGTGTTCTAATTGAATGACGATGAATGAGTTGTGATTTTGAGGAACCCCTCTCGCCTCGAGTATATTTGAGTTTTTTTTCCACTTTTTTACTATTTATTTATAAATTTATTGTTCAATAGTGTTAATATATTATTAACTGTATGTGAAAAGTAAGAAAAGCTTGGCGGTATTCCCCGTTTAATTTGTTAACGGTACAGTGAACATTCATGAACTCAGTAGAAAGTCTATTCAAAATGCTTCCCAATTTGACGAACATAATAAGAAGCTATCTTAAAGAAATGGAACTATAATACGATACAAACTCGCTCTCAAAATTAAACGCCATCCCCGCCATCATAACGGCACATAATAACAATATATGTAGATTGACGTAAATTAACACAAGTTATGCTGTGGATACAGACGTGGTTGAAATCAAGTCACTTTCGGAACTTATAGCAAATACTGAAGGTCCTTTTGATAATGGAAGGAAACTGCGATTCATTTTCATTTCATTTCATTTGTTGATTATCATTTAAACGAACATTCTTTGGCATTTATTTTTTGAAGATTACTCGTATCAAATGTTGGCCGCGGTTACGTCTCAGATGGTTCATTCGTTGAGTTTAATTTCGATGACTCGTTCGAGCATTTCGTCTGGTAACTAACGAATGACAGGCGTGATGTTTTGCTTTATGTTTTGAATCGAAGCGGGATTGTACGCATATTCTTTAGACTTTACATATCCCACACGTCCGAACGTATAAATAGGGACCGATGATTTAGCCGGCTCACAAACTACACCACACCGTTTTTTTCTGAATAAAATGGCAGCTGTTGAATTTCTTCAGGTTGCTCTTCGTCCTGAATGCGGCAATTTTGCTCATTTACATACCCATTGAGCCAGAAGGTCGATTCAGTTCTATATTTTCTTCATTGCGTATTGGACGTGGTCTATACGGTCGAATATTTTCAAATGTGACCTGGTCTACGGAAAAGAGGCTTAGGTGTCTAAAAATCAATTTTCACTTTTTAGTTGATTCGGATGGGAGATGAGATGCTTTTTTTTTAACAGCTGTTTCCCAGAAAACTAGTTTTCGCACGTTAGCTCCCTTTTCATTGACCAGGTCACAAATAATTAATTCTGTGCCTCAATATGGGTGATGGGGTTGCGAATAGTATGCTCTGTATTCCGATTATGTTGACCGTTGTTCAAAAACAAGTTTCTATGCTAAAATGTCAAACAATACTGAACAAAAATAACATGACAGCTTGACACGACTCAAGCGTGATCTGTCAAACAAAGTCGTTCAAACTAAAAACTATTGCCAGAACCAGTCCTTTCTTATCTATTTAAAAATCTCTTAAGGAATTAAGAAATCTCACCACCTTCTATAACTACTATTTATTATCGTAAGGTCATACAGAGACTTGAAATGACAGAACAAAAGTCATTCCAGTGCTGGTTCCTGCAGGAAGATACAGCAGTTCAGGTAACACCTACAACGTTCGAACAATTGAGAAGCACTTTTGGTGTGTAACATCTATCAAGATGTTTCGAAAGTTGAAACCAGAACATTTGATTTGACCTCTTTAGACTAATCTTTGTTGACGTCCGGAAGTCAATGGTCTATTCTGAAAACCTGGAAAAAAGAGACCACAACAAATTCTATTCATCACAAATATTATAACATATTGTAATACATAAATTTATTGTCGTTTATTTACATCTTAATACATAAACAATTTTCGAAATGATCATTCGGATGCACTTTTCTTATTATCACAGCGACTTAATCTACTACAATTATGGTACGTTATTAATTAAAATTATTTTTTACAAAAATATAATAAAATGAAGCAAGGAAAACTAAACATAAAATTGCAATGTTTTATATAAAATCAATTTTATAAAAAACAAAAAAAGTTAAATAAAATTTCTTTACATTTAAACTTTTTTTTTCAATTTCATATTTTTTACTTTAAAATAATTACCGATTTCTTCCTATAACTTATTTTGATTTTAGTATAAAATTAATTATATACACAGTTATTTATTATTTAAAGATAAGTAGTTAATTTCATTTATGTGAATTTTTATGGCAAAGTTAACTATAATGTTTGTGGGCAATTTTTATTTTTGCTCAACACTAAACGCTCCGGATCCAGCCCCAATTTCTTTAGGGCGTCGTAGATTTTCGTACGAACTTCTACGGGAAAGTCGCGATCGCGTCCGAACACCCAAATTTGATCGGAATAACCGATCGAGCCGAGACTGCCACAAGACCAAAGAATCGCAAAATTCTCATAGTCCGTGTAGAGCACCTGATATTTGCCAGAGCCAGGCAGCAGACGTGCGATAACGTCCGGGAAGCGGGTATTGAACTGTGCGAGAAGAAAAATACACCAATTTTACTGTTATTTTATTAGATTGAAACAAATTCTTACCTTAAAATCCATAATTGAAGACTTTCGATTCTCAGGCGTCGCATAGCCCAGATTCACTGACGGATTGCCGGTTCTAGTAGATAAATTATAAATAACTGTTAACTTAAAAAACATTTTTATTTATTTATTTATTTAAAAACTTAACTTACAATCTGTTTATCGTTTTGATTGCCACCTCGAGCTCAAAATTATTAAACTTGGAGAGTTTCTCCTTATGTAGTGGTTGGAATTCCAGTAGCGTGCAACCAGACGTGATTTCGGGCAGATAAAAGGAACGCTCCACTTCGTACCATTGACCAAGCACCTTAAGAGATAAGTGAAAAAAACCTTTATAGTTTGATAGAGCATTAAAAATATGGAAATAATGCTGAGGTTTTTGGTAAAGTGCTATAAAACAATCCTTATTACTTGGTGCAGACTTAAGTAGAGAGATAGACTTCTAAAATTTTTCGGAATTTGTACAGCTTTTTCTTAATAATTTTTTTTCTAAAAACCCTTCATTTCTTGCCAAGATATATTAATCATATGCTTCAATTAAATTTTTGTGAGAGTTGGCAAAACCTCTCAAAAAAATTTCCAACTAAACGCCTTTAGAAGCCTATTCACATTGATACCCATATTGTATCATGGCATTTATTTAAAAACCCCACACTGAAGTGATATTAAGTTTTTCAAGTAAGATTCCTTATAATAACGGGGGTTTCAAGCTATAAAAGATTTTTTAAATAAAACAAAAATGTATGGAATATCAATGAAATTCTTTATTCCTATGAATAAATACATTCGATGCCATTATGTATGGAACTCGATTTATTTTGAATGGCCACCACGAGCCCGCTTGCAGAAGTCCTGACGCTGAACCCAATTTTTGACGGTTCTCAAGCATAAATCGGCCGATACTGCTGCAATTTCACGTTTGATATTCGTAAGAAGTTCATCAATCGTCGCTGGCTCGTTGGCATAGACCATAGGCTTGATGTAACCCCACAGGAAGTGTGAGAAGTAGTCTAACGGCGTCAAATCGCCCGAGTAAGGCGGTGAACAAACTGGGCCATTTCGTGAGATAACACGTTCATTAAACTTTATTTTCAATAAATTGATTGTGACATTCGCTGTGTGACTTGTGGCGCCCTTCTGTTGGAACCACATATCGTTCAAGTCCATACCATCGAAATCGGGCCAAAAATATTCGGTATTCCATGAGCGGTAGCGATTCCCATTTTTCTTATTGACGAAGCCATTCAGTCAGAACTGAACCTCATCGCTGAAGATGATTTTTCAATGAAAATCCTGATCATTTTGAAGTTTTTGCTCAGCCCAGTTCACGAACATATGACGATTTTGGTGGTCAAGCGACTTCAGTTCTTGTGTCAATTTGACTTTGGAAGGATGTAGGTCAAGATCTTTTCGCAAATATTCTTGACGGGCACTTCTTTGTCCAACTGGCACAACAATATTTTGTACTGTGTTAATATCGTCTGGGTACCCTGTCATATAGGAAGAGAAGGAAATGAAAATGTTGGCTCGCATGGGACTGGAAGCGCAATTAATCTAACCTGCTCTTAATCATTTTGTTCCTTCAGGGGTTATTTAAGGATTATATCAGGTGGTGGAATACTAACAACAAGGAGGATACCACAAAATTACTTTGGCGTGGTATGGATGGTGGACAGGCCACAAAGCTCTTACTTCTAAGCAAAAAGGTTTTTAGTATTATTGTAAGGGTCATTACAGGGCAGAAACTCTTAAGATCCCACATTTTGAAATTCGGAAAAGTGGGTTCAGCGAAATGCAGAGCATGCACAGAGGATGATGAGTGTGCCCAACCTTCAGTCAGATGAGACGGGATATGTTCCATGGCTCCTGATGCTAAAACTTAAGAAACATTTGGCAGCCGGGGGCCTTGGAGAAAAATAATTTTTTTTTTTACCATACCTGAGTAGCGAGATAAGGCTTAATTTGAGCAGAATGGGCCTAAGGATTTCCTGAGTACAGCCGCCTGCGATCTAACGCTTATGCGCCTCAGCTTTCAGCCAATCAATACCATATATTTTGGGCATGTAGAAAATCTCTTAAAGAAATATATTTTTACTTCTGAATCTTCCTAAAGCCACAAACTTTTCTACTTAAAACCTTTACTTCCTTTATGTAATTTTATTCACCAAGCATTCGATTAGCCAATTCATACCAGTTGTGTAGTATTTACGAAACAGTTGTTGTACTACCGGGTATATGTGAGCGTATGTCTCTATGGATGTCTATATTGATTTAAATGTAGTATTTCAGAAATTGTCAAACATAATAATTTGTTGTCGCATTTGCCTGTTATAGGTTAGGCGTCTAAAGTTAGCAAATCTGTAACTGACAAATATGTTGACGTCAAGACCAAACACTGCATACTAATGAAATTTGTAATAAATA